AGGTGCTGTGGATTTGGGGTCTTCTCAAATTTTGGAATATTTGTGTCATCCTTACTGGTTCAGCAACCCTAACCAGAAATCTGAAATGCTCCAATGAGCATTTCCTTTGAGCATCCTCTCGGTGTGCAAAAAGTTCCAGATTTTGAAGCATTTTGGGTTTTGGATGCCCAGCCTGGCTGTAGTTCCTGTTCTACCAGCAGCACACACTGTCACAAGCAGCAAGGCACAAGAACAAAGCACTCTTGGAAAGACACGCTGCCACGTGCTGCCCTGGCGCCCCCAGCCTAGAGCCACTCTTCTCCAGGACCGATGGCCAGGCCACCGCCGCCTCGCACCAGCCCCTAGGTCCTGTCGCCCCAGCTGTCTCCACCTGGCGCCCTCTCCTCGCCCACACCCGCCTTCCACATGAAGATCCCTCTGCTGCCCCTCAGCCTGCCCCGCTGGCAGTCACCACACAGGCGGCTGGGCTTGCGGCAAGGCCAGCAGCAAGGCGGGGACGGCCCGAGAGATCTGCTGTGGTTACCATTAGAATAGCTCCTCATCTGCCCTAAGCAAGGCCACTCTGTGGTTTCAATTTGCACAAGGAGGAGAGCTTTCTGGACAATATTAATATTCTCCAACAGAACGTGAAGAATCCGAACTCTGTTTTCTACCAGTCCAAGGCGGAGGGCTCTTCTTGTCTGATCCACACACGCCTGTGATCTCACTGGTGCACCAAGGAAGGAGCAAGGCGGCGCTGCGGCATTCCTCCCGGCACTCGGCCGTGGTCACGGAAGCAGACATGGAGCTCGAAACTGCACACGGCAGCCATGCTGGCAGGCTTCGGTGTGCTTGGCTGCTTTTTGTCATGGACAAAAAACAGCTGTACTAAGGTATAACTGACATTTTCTTTTTAACAGAATTCTTTAAACAAAATGGTTCGACGTGAATATCGAGAGAAACACTAGACGTAGCGCTGAAATGCTCTGGCATGAGGCTGCAATGCCGACAACACCTCCGCCTGACCACCGGCCCCATGGGACAGGCAGGTGGCCGCGGCCCAGTGAAGGTCGGGACTTGAGCAAAGTCTGCCTGTTGGACGCTGTGGCAGGTCCCCCACCTCGTCCCTGAGGTCAGGGTGGGGCTGGTGCATCTGTGAACAGGCTTCCACCGTCCTTACTCCCAAGTGCTGCTGTTTACTGGTCTCTTACCCATCATGAGAAACAGAACCACAGCATTCCTGGCCGGAAATGACAGTGAAGGGGGGAGGACTGACAGGGGTCCACAGTGACACGCCGCCAGCAGGGACCGACGCCTCAGACGCACGTAGGTGCGCTACCCACTCCAGCGCCTGCCCTATGGCAGGGGGACGTGCCAGTCCCACACGCAGAACTCACAGCCTCACCACCTGCCATCTGGGCGTTGGAACTCTTGCCACCAAAGGGCGACCCCAAGCTGAGGGTCCCTCTCTTACCCCACCAGGCTGCATGTGGGCAGTGCCGACGGCACAGCGGGGCTGGGAGGGGAGCAACCCTTCCCCATGGATACTGGGGGACAACTGCATGCTCCGCCCAGCCAGGCTGCCCGAGGGTGGCCAGTTCTTCCCTCTGCCGCCTGCTCTGCTGGACCGGCGTCGGGGCCAGGCTGCTCGCAGGTCCAGGCTGGGTGTGGACAGCTGGAAGCCTGCTTCACCCCAGGGGCTTTGCACCAAGCCAGTCAGCACCTGCATTTCAGACGGGACTGGCACCCACGTCCCACCCGTGCAGACGGGCTGTGAGCACTCTGGTGGCATCTGGCCGACGAGGAAACATCTGCCCACCTGGAGTCTGACTTCTGCCCCGGCCATGCACTGACGGCCCACTCCAGAGTCCTACCAGGGCCGCTGCCCCGCAGGCAAGGCCGCGTGTGACAGCCCTGCGGGCTCTGCCCCATGTCCTTGCGACAGCTGTCTGGTGCTGCTCCCCACTCCCATCAGGTCTTGGCTTAAACATGGTCTTAACAGGGGTCTCAGAGCAGAGAGGATGAAGGAGGGAGAAGGGAAGCTCCATCTGTTCAGGCCTAACTTCATCTGTGCACGCGCCCCTTTCTCTCGGAGACACCCTCACGCTAGTCCACCTGAGGACGTCCTGTCGTCCTTAAAGTTGAGAAGCCCAAACCCTGCCTCTGCAAAAGCAGCCTGAGCCCCTGCCGCCAGCCAGAGACAGGCAGAGCCCCCGCCTCAGGTGGGGCGTGCAAGCCCGTGTGCCCCTGGCTACGGGACCCCAGTGCTCTGGGGGCCCCAGGGCAGGCACCGTGTCCTCTGCACATGGGCACCCTCTGGGCTGCACAAGGAGCAGGCTCCCCACCAGCACGGAGCAGGGAGGGGAACGCCATGCAAGTCACAGGATGACACCAGCAGGCCATGCCTGAGCGAGCCAGAGGCTGTGACCCACAGCACCGGCTTCGCCGTCCGGTTCTAGGTAAGTTTATAAACGCCTCATCATTTCCAGGGTCCCTGTTTGTGGTTTTGTCCAATAAACGAATAGTACCTTCTAAACTAGAAGCAATCCTAATATATTTGCAAGAGTGGGAAATGGTCTTCTGGCAGATCTCGGGGATTGCACCAGTGGACGTGGGGCTCAGGCGGACGCCATGCCAGATCCCAAGAGGGTGGGACGCCCTAAGTCTGTCCTGTCAGGCCACGAGGAAGCTCCAGGTGTGAGTGGCAGGATTTGGTAAAGTTGCTGTAGGTTAGGCTGGCTCAAGGGAACATCTGAAGCAAATGTAAATCTAAATTTACATTAATGGAGCTTTTCTCTCTCTCTCAGGGATGGGCATTTCAAAAATAGTCATCATAAACTCTGTCCCACACTGAACAGTACAGTAGACTCCTGGCATCTGTCAGACGTGTGGCATCAGGGGGGGAGGGCACAGCCCTCCAGCAGCCGTGCTGCCCACAGACTCTGCCCACGACACATGCGAAGGCCATGGCTGCCCACAGACTCTGCCCACAACACACGTGAGGGCCACGGCTGCTCACAGACTCTGCTCACGACACACGCGAGGGCCACGGCTGCTCACAGACTCTGCCCATGACACACGCGAGGGCCACGGCTGCTCACAGACTCCTGCCCACAACACACACGAGGGCCACGGCTGCCCACACACCCAATGCCAGCCGGGTTGTGCCGAAGGCTTGCTGTGCTTTAGGTAATAATGTGAGCAACTTGTAAAGTTTCCATGCATTTTAGAGGTTGTAAAAGTAAAAAATAAAGTAATGTTTATATTTGAAAGGATAAAATTATCAATCTTAGGTAATTTCAAAGTCTATAAAGTTTGGCTCTCAAAACTGTAAGGAATTTGAGTTTACTGATGTGAGGTTCTCTATGTTCTTAAAATGCAGATTACTGTGTATTAAACTCAGCATAATACCTGCATTAAAACAGATGTCTGTATCACCTATGTCAGAAATAAAGGTTAGGTTTATTTTCTACATCTCACTGTAAGCCCCTTCTGTATATAATCCAGGTCATGGAAAATATCAAAGTGCTACCACTTGAACGCGAGTGTTGGTAAAACGCTGTCGTTTGTGCTTTTTTTCATAAGCACGGACCTTCTACGAGAGCCTTCCACTGAGTAAACCACAAGAACTGAGTCTTGAGCCTCAAGCCTGGAAATTATTTGTCTCGATTTCACTAACCAATGAAAACTGGACATATCAGCACACGTACCTGTTTATCTACTTGTAAATACACAACCTATTTCTGAAACGGAGGAAGGCGGTTTCAGCAGAAACAGGCAAAAGGCAGTGCTGCGTGTGCGGGTGGCGGGAGCCTGCGGCCGTCTTACCTGGTCCCTGGTCTCTCCACGGCTGTCCTTGACCAGAGCGGCTGTACCCAGAGTCCGTCCGGTAGGAGCTGGAGCCCTGTCTTCCCCACCTCCCTGTGGGAACGTGTGATCAGCGCATCAGCAAGTTCTCCAGTGACATCGGTTTGCAAACTTTTCCACCACTTAAAACCACAGGGGGAGCTCACGGCAATGCGGGTGCACCAGCAGAGCCCAGGCCACCTGGGGACTGGCCTCGAGGAGGGCTCTGGGACCAAGCCCACCCCTCAGGGCTCAGGGCCAGGCACGAGCAGCTGAGGACAAAGGCCCCGGCGTCCCTGGACTTCCTGACCAAGCCAATACTCCACTGCCCACTTCTCCACAAACTTCATCTACACACACTTTTCCAACTCTAACCTTTCCACAGATTCCTAGACCCTGGCGCCTTGTGCTGTGTGTCTCTGCCAGAAGGCCTGATTATCAACTCTGATGTGATCTTCTAAAGATCTTAATGTTCCACGGGCCCCACAAGGAAAGAAGGCCCCTGCCATGGCACGGCCCCTGCTGCAGACACTGGGAGCGTGTTCCTGGGCAGAGCTGGACTCCCCAGCGAGTGATCTCACGTGTGGCATGACGCCCTCCTGTGTCACGCGGCCAGCCGTGGACACAGAGCAGGGACAGCTCAACACACGTGGACCACAGGCCGCCTGGGCCTTTGATTACTAGTGAAGGGGGTGTGTCCTGGGTGCTCACGGGGCCTTGTGCCAGCACACGTTGGCCGGGTCACCCTCGGAACTGGCCACCCACCTCTGGGGCCACGCATGGCCTCCAGGCCACTCTCCTCAGCTCTGTTTCCCTATACTGTCTGTAGAGTCATTGTCCTAAAAAGCTTGTTTCTGATCACATCACTTCAAAGACCTTCACAAGCTCCACAATTTACAGTTGATAAAAAGTCAAGATTCTCGCCTGGTCTCTAGTGCCTGCTTAACTTCCCCGATTCTCCCCCCATTACAGCTTTTACCCAAAGCTAATCACTGAGCGTCTCCTGGAACCCCACGGACTCTCCTGTGGGGTTCCCGCCCTTCCTGACTGCTGCCCTTGTCTCTGAGCTGCCTGTGGACAGCGCTAGTGAAGCACCCATCCTATCTGGCCGGTGAACACGTGTGTGCTCATCTCTGGGCCCCTCAGGGCTGGCACAAGCTCACAGATGATACCTGGTCCCTCCCCAGCCCGATGCTGTGCCCACACGTGGAGTCACCGGCCTCGTGCTCTGAGGAGCTGTGGGCTCACAGCTGCCAGCTCGGGTACAGAGGCCACGCCGGGGAGCCGGTCAGTGCCGCAGCGGCCTGGCTGTGCGGCCATGTGAGCAGGTGACAGCCCAGTCAGGACTGTGGCACCCCACCTTGTCCCAACACGGAGGTGCAAGGACAGCGCCAGCACACACGCTGGCCGCGGCCAAGCGGCCCAAGGCTCCAATCCAAGTTCTGCCACTAAGAACCTGCGTGGTGCCGGGTGAGGCATGTGGGGCTAAAGGTCCCCTCAGCAAAGTGAGGGTTGCTCCACCTGACCTGAAGCCGGGTTTGTAAAGAACACAATGACCCCGACGACAAACAGGCAAGTTTCCAAGTCATGTAAATGATCCTATCTCTTAAAATGTAGTTTTCCTCATTAACTTGGAATAATATGACAGGACACCCAACTCTGCCCATCTGTATGCACACTTCATTAGAAAGTAGTCAAATTAGTTTCTGTAAAGATTATAAGTAACTGTACTACTGCATTAAACAAACAGGCGAGACTAAGGGGACACACAGGCCACCTTCAGTGCTCAGAACAGAACTTGTCACTCAGGCAACTCTCAGGCCCTCTGACATTCAGAAAGAGGAGCTTCGACACGCAAACCCAGTGCTACTGCCAACCCAACAGCCTGCATCCGCCCTCTGCAAGTTTCTCAGCCACTTGTCGGGGCCCCACTGGCAGTCTCATTAGGAGCGGGAACCCCGGGGCACTGTGTGTACAGTGCAGACTTCTGAGTACCAACTGCCAACCAGTTTAGGGAACAGGCAATGCAGAGAAAATGTTGTACGTTTATTTTGCATGAATATATTTTGCTTTGGGGTCTCAAATTCTGTTTACCTACAGTTGGTAGGAGCAAGGTAAAACATGGAGAAAAGGACTGGGAAGTGGGGAGAAGGCAGCCTTCCTGTCAGCATCAGGAAACAGCTCCACACCCCCTGGCTCACTGTGCTCCTTTAACGGTGTGAGTGGGACTCATCCAAGGTGGCCACGACAGCACAGAGCCGCTGAGAATGAAATCCGCACGGCTCACACCAGCTATGACGCCTGGAGACAGTCTGCGGGGTAGGATTTGGGGTGAGTTCTCTTATTCCATCAAGAAAAACAAAAGGGCTGCTATAGTTACAGGTACAGATGTGAACCAGAGGAGGCCGTGAGAAAATAATTAAAAGAAATAAGGAAATGAGTAAGATGCCCAACCTCAGAGATAAACAAAGAAGCATCCAATTAATGAGACACACTATTCGTCTATCAAATTAGCCTCAAAAAACCAAGCTGGGCACAGTGGCTCACGCCTGTAATTCCAGCACTTTGGGAGCCTGAGGAGGGAGGATCGCTTGAGCCCAGGGGTTGGAGGCTGCAGCGAGCTGTGATCACACCACTGTGCTCCAGCCTGGGTGACAGAGCAAAACCCTGTCTCCAAAAAAAACCCACAAAAACCCCAAAACACACTTTTAAAGGTGCCACAAAACAGAAACTCGTGCTCACTGCTGGAGAAGGAATTAACTGACGATCTACCTAAAGTTGATTACATTTGGATCCATAATACTGCAAACCATGATATTCTATTTTAAGGAAATAATGTACACAAAAGCATTAGGAGTAATGAGAAAAATGGAAACACCCTCAGCGCTCAAAACAGGAGAACTGCCAAGGCAGCATGGACCGTGAGGTGGTGGAAGGCCCTGCAGCCACTGTCCAAGAAGAACTGCCCTGATGCAGTTCTGACCCCGCCCTCGGCCGGGGCTGCGTGGCCAGGCAGCCGTGCAGCTGCGCAGAGCACCAGACGCCGTGACGTGAAGCACAGAGAATGCTGGTCACACCTCATCTGTCAGTGCCTGTCAGCTTTAGGGCACAGAATTAAAGATCATTTATATTTCCTTTTTAATTATTTTCTTTATACTCTAAATTCTCCTAATATACTTTTACTATAAGGAAAAAAACCCTAAACTTTTGTCAAATAAACAAACATGACCCAGGTGGCCCCTGTATTTTGGGGAATCCCAGAGAGAAGTTCATGCACCTAGAGAAAGTGTTCTTAATTATTTAGTTAACAAGTCAATCCTTTCTGAGAATTTTTTTCCTAATGGGAGAATTCGAACCACTGGGTAAAGACCTATCACCTTAATTTTATTCTTTTCTTCTAATTTCATCAGCCTTTTCTTGGAACTCTTTTACCAAGAAAACTCAGGAAGCAAGCAGGGTCTGTGCTTGTGGGGCCGCAGAACCTTCCCACTCACGGCGAAGCAAAGCATCTGCCCACCTGCGTGGTGTGTGCCCCAGTGCACCCGGGCCACGATGCGTCTGTTCTCCTTCACGCAGGCCTTGCAGACGACGGCTTTCAGGTTGTGGAATTTGGTGAGCCGAGATCTCTGCAAACAGACCAGATGCAAATGAGACGCGTAGGGTCCAGACAACACAGGGCAGGGGCAGCCGTGGCGTGGGGCAGCCTGCGGGACACGGCCCCGCGTGTGGACGCCGCAGGGTCCCCCTAACACGATCGTCTCACAGAGGGCCTTAAAAACTGATATTCTCCTGAACTGCCTAGAAAACTCACATCGAGCAGCCACGTCGCCTTCTGTCTTCTGTAGGGTAAACGTCATTTCTAAGAAAGAATCTTCAAGCCCTATTGTGACAATTTAGGCAATTACCATACAATCTTATCTAAAAAAACCCTACGCATTTAATGTATCTCAGTATTTCAATTCTTAGTTATAAGAACATATTCGATGGAAATGCCAAATGCCAACGTCACAAAAAACAGCAGCAGACTGAAAAACGGTGCATTCAACCTCTCCTTCCAGCGTCCTGTTTCACTACTGGATATTCTACCCTGTAATCCTTAATTTTTTTTAAACCACAAAGTGTGATCCTATCATCACTTTGTACTTGGTCAAGAGATCAGACACAGAAAGATGGTGATCTCCGCTGACAGTCTACTGCTGACTGACCGTTTACTGCTGACTGACCACCTACCGCTGACTGTCTAATGCTGCTACCACTGACTGACCACCTACCGCTGACTGTCTAATGCTGCTACCACTGACTGACCACCTACCGCTGACTGTCTAATGCTGTCTACCACTGACTGACCACCTACTGCTGTCTACCACTGTCTACTGCTGACTGACCATCTACTGCTGACTGACCTTCTACTGCTGTCTACCGCTAACTGTCTACTGCTATCGCTGTCTACCGCTGTCTACTGCTATTGCTGACTGACCGTCTACTGCTGACTATCTACCACTGACTGTCTACTGCTGACCATCCACTGCTGACTGTCTATTGCTGACCACCTACTGCTAACTGACCGTCTACTGCTATCTACCGCTGACC